TTGCAATATAATATGGGTCATCAATCTCTTGTCCATTCGAAATGCAAGACTGATGTGGATCAAAAACTGAGAGCAGACAAAAGGTTCAAATCATGAATCAAGCATCAGAACGGAGAGACCTGGTATGTTCTCAAGAAAACACCTAATTACCTAATACTACTGCTACATAATTTTTCATTTATTTTAGTGTAATGAAGAAAGTGTCCTGGGAGATAAAGAAATTGAAGAGAAAATTGGTGAAAACAGGGTGAAAATCTACAAGATTATAAATACTTTTACAAATTACAGTTTGTTGTGACTTATTTTCATCAATTTTAAATGTGAGAAAAATAAAGCAAGAGTATCAAAATAATTGTAATATTCATTAAATGAAAAATACATTGTATTATTCCACTATATTACAAAAGATCTACATGAGCCATGAAAAAATCTTCATAGCACATTATAGTTATTCAGTGATCTGATTGAAACAATAATAAACAATGATTGTATGATATATTTATTATGTATAGGTACATATTTTTTATAGAACTTGTTGAATCAGAATTCACAAAACCATGCTGATTCTGGTGTACCTAAAATATCTACACATTTGAAATAGAACCATACAATTTCCCTTTATCACTGTCACAACTAGTCATAGGGGTTCCATCATCAGCACTTGAACACTTACACCAATAATAGTTCACTTCTGGTGAAATTAATATCCACCCAAAAGTCCAGGTATTATAACTTCAGCATGAAACTTCAAAGAAATTTATGAATGTTGTTCCCAAAAAACACGTTTCTCGGACTTTGAAGATATAGTAGGGATTTTGTATTGAACCAGCCAGAGCAACTGTACCTATGTCCATTTCTGCTATTGGTATGATGGGCACAATCATGATGAGAGTGGTGGCATGGGCCACAAAGCACATACATCAGTACATGAAACTGTTCCTTATTTACTTGCCCAAGCCTCAAGTTACTTATTAGCACAGAATCTGATTGTGAATATTTTACCTATAAAAAAATTGCATAAGATAAACATGAATATGAGGTAGGAAATATATTTAAAAATATATGAATAACATAATTTCATCATTCAAAATGTTCCTATCATGAAAGTTATTTAGGTATAAAAGTAAAAAGTTACCTTTCCAACTATGGCATGAAAATCATTCATCTTCCTGTCTACTTCCTGGACAAAAGTTGCTAAAAAATACTTGTGAACAACAAGGGTTTTGAATGCTTTCATTTGCTCATGAGGGTAGAAACTGTGGGGTCACTATAAATAGTAGGAGAGTATAATTATGAGGTAGTCTAATCAGTCAGCAGTTTCGGATGTGAAGGGCTTCAAATCCTTGATCAACATCAGCTTCATCAGATATCTACAAACAAATTATGGTTGTACGATAGTTTCAGGAATGAAAATTTACTGGTTAGTTGGGAAAAATAGCCGAAAAAACAATAAATATTCATGTTTACCTCTGACCAACCTCTGGGTTTTCCTGCAATAACTTCTGGAAATATGAACTCAGCATATTGAAGCACTGTTCAATTCAGCTCCGAGACTTCCTCAAACACCTGACACATAAAACTACCAGAATAATAGGGTGATTCCGGCAAAATACAATTTAATTACAAGTGATGTATAATCTTTGTTTGCCAACCAGACGCCATCTTGTCAGCTAAAATGTCACGTGGTTTGGATTGCCTAATTAGAAAAATCGAAGGAAAAGAAAAGATAAATAGAAATTGAATCTGTTTAATTCGTTTAGAACTGTGTTTCCGAGTCTCCAGGTAGGAATGATGAAATAGTTGAGTAAATAATTTTCTAGACCTAACCTTAAAATACCAAAGACCTGAGAGATATTTTGCTTTGATTCCTGTAATTATCCAGACCAGAAATAGCAACCAGTATTCCAGGCTAGACCCAGGGTTTGTAATTAAAGCCTACACTCCCTTGGCTACTTATTGATTCCAGGTCGATTCAATACCATTGACCCCTGGATTATACTGTGGGTACCGAGGTAGGTATACCTCCTGTACCTTTCTCCACTGTTGCTACTGTGGGCCTCCTTCCCGACTAAGTTGGGAGGAGCAGGTGAAGTAAATCACCTTTATCAAAAATCTGGCGCTCGAGAATCCCCCCTGTCAAATACCAGAGTAGTCTCCTGTCCTGAACAGAGCGTCAAAGTAAGGGCCGCAGAATAAAGACCCTTTACAATCATTCTCAACTCAATACACTGCTGGCTTTTATTTCATGATTTAATGTTTTGCTCATTTTCCGTTGATTTATGGGGCGGCAAACCCTACATGCCCGGGGCGCTGAATATTGAAATACGCCCCTGGACCGAGCCCCCATAGTAATTTTGAAGTTCCGGCGCCAATGATGATCACAGTGGGCTGACGCCATGCTATTGCTGGACCAGAATAAATTCTCCTGACCAAACAGCCTGCGCAATTTTATTGTGAAAAATTATTATCAAGAAACACGAATCTCAACATATCACCTGATGGGAATGGTTCGAAAGATTTATAGGCACTTCTATACTGAGGACAGTTAGTTGTCAACGAAGCACAATTAATTGCACCTGCAGGGTTCAAATTGGTTTAACTATAGATTGTTTCCTCAATTCTGAAATCTGCTCATGGTTATCTGGTAGTAACGCCTCTGAATGTAGAAGACTCTTTAAGTTTTACGAAAAAGCTTGAGCCTGCATTTTTCAATAACGATAACTTGCATGGGTAAGCTGACGAGGATTATACAGGGTGGATCACGGTGGATGGCCTATTAGAAGTATCTGGAGAACGAAAAAACAGAACATTCTTAAAATTAGGTGCTACGATAATTGAACATTCTCTATTCGTCTAAAATGTTTTTATCGATGCAGTGTTGCCACTTCTATCAGAAACAACTAGCAACTTCGTTATTTTAAATGGAGCACCCTGTATTTTATTGCATTTTCAGATTCTTCCTAAAGAGCTGATTTTATCAATGTATCACACTTGGGGTCTATCAGGAAATGATCAGGAATGATTACAGAGATTCAAAATCGAGATTTTTCAAATTTGTTTTTTTTTTTGTTTCGAAACTATTCATTATCTATCAAAACGGTTTACATGTCCCTATCTCAACTTCCGATCCACTATCTACTGACATTTAATAGGAACAGCTAGATAGATACAAGGTGATCAGCATTCTGAATCTTGAAGCACCCTGTATTTTTTCCAAATTTAATTCCAGTAGATAGTGAATCAAAAGTTAAAATAGGGACATGTACCCCGTTTCGATCAATAATGAATAGTTTCGACACAAAAAAATCCTGAAATTGAAAAATCTAGATTTTGAATACCCTATATATCTCTGTAATTATTTCTGCTTGACCCCAATTATGATTCATCGATGAAATCAGCTTCTCAGGAAGAATCTGAAAATGCAATAAAATACAGGGTATTCTATTTAAAATAAAAAAGTTGCTAGTTGTTTCTGATAGAAGTTGCAACACTGTATCGATGAAAACATTTCAGACGCATAGAGAATGTTCAATTATCAAAGCATCTCAATTTTCAGAATGTTCTGTTTTTTCATTCTCCAGATACTTCTAATAGGCCATCTACCGTGCCCCAACCTGTATACAGGGTGATTCACATAAGAACCGACATAGAGCAGGGGCATGTAGGGGGTCCCAAAATATGGCAATTTAACGCAACTTACCTCTATACCAAGTTGCTTCCCTAAGGAGTTATAGGATTTGAAAGTGAAGTTATCAATTTTGAGAAAAATCAATATCTCCGTTATTCTTGAACTTAAAGCAACCAAATTTGGTACAGTTTGTGGATGTATTTAGGGCGTTACTTGACAGAAACTAGAGCTTAAGTGAAATTTGTGAAGAGGGTATACCGGGTGGCGCACCATTAATATTCAACAGAATTTTGTTAACCCTTGATGGATTTCAAAAATCTTCGCTTTGTTGTGTGGGCAATTTAATTCTAAAACTATTCTTGCTCTAGTAATTTTTCGAAACACCTCATCATTTTCATCAAAAACTCGAATAACTGAAAACGCGCGCTCTAGGTGTGTTATTCAAAATCATCGAAAATTCAAAAGTTGGCTATGAAAATAAACGTACAACAAGAAAGTAGGTCATTAATTGTGATCAGAAGAAATTGGCTGGCAAATTATTATTTAGATACGTAACAAAATACGTAAAGTAAGTACAGATACTGAAATGTGAAAAACTGGGATTAACAACTAACCAAAATAAACACAAAAAACTTTAACAACAACCAGAACAAACAATTGTTTATCGATAAATTACTTAATTGAACAACTTACTTGCTTCATTGTCAAGTTTGACGTTTATTTTCATAGCCAACTTTTGAATTTTCGATGATTTTAAATAACACACCTAGAGCACGCGTTTTCAGTTATTCGAGTTTTTGATGAAAACGATGAGGTTTTTCAAGTAATTACTAGACTGAGGAAAGTTTTAGAATTGAATTGCCCACACAACAAACCAAAGATTCTTGAAATCCATCGAGGGTAAACAAAATTCTGTTGAATATTAATGGTGCGCCACCCGGTATACTCCCTTTAGAAACTTCAATTAAGCTCTAGTTACTGTCAAGTAACGCCCTATATACATCCACAAACTGTACCAAATTTGGTTACTTCAAGTTCAAGAATAACGGAGATATTGATTTTTTTCAAAATGTATAACTTCACTTTCAAAGCCTATAACTCCTCAGGCAAGCAACTTGGTATAGAGGTAAGTTGCGTTAAATTGCCATATTTTGGGACGCCCTGCTCTATGTCGGTTCTTAAGTGAATCACCCTGTATACCCATTTTATACAGTATGATTAGTGTTCTCTCCAAATTTCTCAAGTGCATGTTGAACTGATTTGGAAAAATATGACTAACATCTGCTGTTCCTACTAATTATTTTAGTAATATGATGATAGAGCAATGATCGAAATGCTGAATGCTGGAAAATAGAAACAAATCAATGAAAACAATTATTACGAATTAAAGAAAATTCATTTCACTTTATTTTCATCATCAGGAGCTGTAATAGGATACACAATACTAATATTATGCTACTTTTTATAATTCACATTTACCTCCTATAATAAACAACATATTCACTTTCATAAATCAATATGATTTGCCAACATTGTTATCGCGTATTTTCATTAGAACTTGGCAATTTTATGATTCCTACCTTAGAAATCCATGAAGTCAATTGGATAATTCACTAAATCATTTTACATTTTCAACAATTTATTCTATAAGAATAATGCAAAGTTGTACAATGATTGACAGCAACAAATAAAATCATGAATAAAAATGTGAACATAGAAAATATCAACATCAACTGAAATTTATAGGTATTGGAAAACATAAATATGTTTCAGATAGAAATTATATATAGATATGAAAAATAGAAAAGTTATAGTCAGGAGTTAATAACTTCGAGCATTTCCCTGAACTCTGTATCAGTCTGTGTCTCCATATTAGCAACATATTTGATTTCCCCATTATTTTGTTTCCTCTGTGACATCATTGTCTGACTCTCAACGGATCTTAACATATCTTCAAAAACAGTCTGAGTCTGTATATCATTGAATCCAAAAACGCCTAATATGTCCTCACAAGTTTGTGTATAAGTATTACTCATATAATCACAGTTGAACATGTCTTCTTCAAACATGAAATCTGTTTGAGTTTCCATATGACAATTATCAAATTCAAAACTACATATGTTTTCATCAAGGGTATCAGTAAGAAGATCTGATGTGTCTGTGTAGATAGAATCATGCGTCATAGTAGACGTAGAGAATATATTATTCTGAGTCTGAGTGCCTGAGTTACTCATCTCAGTTTCCTTGGCGAATTCAAAGTCTTCCATATTGAATGATGTATTGCAGGATGAATTTTTAGATTCAATGACATCAGTTTGAGTTATAGAACTCTTCTGGTCTAGTAAGCCAAATAAGTGGCTAGGATTTTTCTGGTTAATATGGATGAAATCACCTATGGTCTGGGTTTCTACTGTCAATTTCACATTTTTATTTCCAGTTTGTGTTTGTTGTGATGTCAAACTTGCTAAGCTTCTGCTAATTTGTGTCATTTTGCTTCTCAAATCTGGTTTTTCATCAATAGTTTGACTTTCCTGATGGAGCACTGTTCTATCCATGTTCGGAATTATTATCAAGTTTACATTAGATTTTGGTAAAATTAGACAATTCTTATTTGTGAACAATTTGGAATCCGTTTTAGATACAAGCAGATTATGTTTGAACTCAGTTTTAGAAAGTACTTTGTGTTTTTTACGTCTACCATGGGTTTTTAATGTTTCATAACAAGGATATGAAGCATCACAGTCTGAGCAAGTAAAATCTATTCCACAATATTCTTGATGGGAACTCAAATGATTTTGACAAGGAAAACCTTTACTACAGGAAGTGCAAACGAAATGTTTACTAGAATGTTTCTTCAGATAATGTTGTCGAAGACACTTCATGCTCTTGAAATGCGTTCTAGTATGGTAAACACAATCTAATTCTGGACAGTAATACTGTTTAGCACGAGGTTGTTGCATTGCATTCGATATCTTGTGGGTTTTTGAAAGGTGCAGATTCAAGTTTGATTCTGATGAGAAGATGCTCTGGCAACTTTCTTGTGTGCATTTAACCATATTGTTGAGTTTGCATTCTTCTGCTGTTGGATAAATCATCAATATTTGTTCTTCCATAGATGAGTTGACCGACGCCATTTCTGAAATGAAAATATTATTATTTTTTACATACAAAAACCATACAATGAGGCTAAAAGAAAAATTAAATCTTATAGGTTACCAGGTACCACCCCCTATAACACATTCATGTTTGACAGTGGATAAAAAAATAGAAACAGCCTGAAAGTGCATTGTTTTTTCTTCTCAACAAATGAATTTCCACTATCTGAAATAATATACAGAGAGCAGCACAGAGCGTATGAATTTTGAAAGACTTTTTGAAGAGGTTTCCGAAAATACCCCACTCAATATACAGGGTGGTCTGATTTGTAATACAAAAATAATCAACAGTGTGTTGTATTCGTTGAAATAATAATAAAAGTTCATTTAAACATGTAATTTTAAACGCATCGTTTTCGAGATATAGGGTGTTGAAAATACGGGTCTGAATATTGTTTGTTGATGAAAAGTTCGAAACAGATACTGAACTTGTTACGTTCTGTAAGATGAAATAAAAATTACTTCATAAAGTAATTCAGTGGCGGCTGAACCTGGGGGTGGTCAAGAAAAAAATCACCCCAATTTTTATATGTGCATTTTTTTTTCAATTTGTAGTGCGTGGAAAAGCTCACTTGAGTTTTTGATGCGATTCGTCGTTTTCAAGTTACATCGGTTCAGCAATATTTTATTGTAATTGAAACAAGAGTGCTATGCTAACTGTTTCATCTTATAGAGCCTAAAAAGTTTAGTAAATGTGAGAAATTTTGTTGATTTATCTCGAACCGTTTTGAACTTCTCATCAAAAAACGATATTCAGACTCGTAATTTCAACACCCTGTATCTCGAAAACGACGCGTTTGAAAGTATTATGTTAATTAGAACTTTTCATCGTATCAACGAGCACAACACACTGTTAAATTTTTGTATTACAAACCGGACCAACCTGTATATGCATCTTCTGTATTTACCAAAATATGGGGATTCAAAACTAATAGTGTTTGAACATTTTTTAATGATTTTCGAGTAGGCCATGACAACCATTAAAAATATTGATTTTCAGTGATCATCGCCAATTGAATGTCATACGTAGCGAAATAGCGACAATACCTGGATTTGCAATGAATGTCATTACCTTCTCTCGGAAATTGTTCAAAAATCGATCAAACTATGTTAGTTTTGGATGCCCATAAATTGAGAAAAAGGAAGATAATAATATTGAGCGAAGTATTTTTGGAAAGCTCTTCGGAACGTCTTTATAATGGTGAGAAAATATATGGGGTGTAAAGTGAAAACGTATCTTTTGATTCGATAAGGAAAAACCCCTGTGAGACTGTTTTTTATTTTTTTTCTACTGTCGAAAATAAAAGAGATACAGAAGGTAGTACTTTATAACGTGTCACCCAGTACCTAAATAGAAAGTAGATAGAAAAAAACGATGATATATTCATTTCATCATATTGGCAGAAATAAAAACGCGTCTTCCTCAATATTGGTATTCAATAACTAATCTCTCAAATCATTGTATCAATAAAAATAAACATTATTGTTCGTCATTCAGAATTTAGTTTTGATTCCAAAACTAGCCACGCTTAAAAACTTTTGATCTGCAGCTATTACCATTTCGGAAAAAATAAGTGGTCGATTAAAATATTGAGAGGAAATTCAATATTAGTATCAATGCATCCTCTTGTAACCAGAATCACTAGAGTGTAAAACTTCCGACGGAAATTAAGGGGTCTTGACCCAACTTTTTTTTGTCCCTATCTATTTGGGTTAAGCCGTTCAATGGTGAGTCTTCATAAGGTTTAAATTACATTGTCAGCCTGTATTGAATATATTCAACTCGGATATTGCACTTAATATAGAATCGCCCACTGTGAAGCTCTATGGTACTTGAGCAACATGCGGATTTGAATACTTCTGTGCGAGCATCGGTCCATCGGATATTATCTTCAAACAGGGGAGGAATATTCTCGGAAATATCGACGCTCTGCCACTAACTTAGATTAGTTTGAATCGCAGCACGTTTGAATATACGCAAAGGGGACAGTATCCCCTTTTATTTGCTTTTTGTTTCAACTCGTTATCCATGACGAAAGTGTGTCTGGAGTAAATAAATCGCTGTGCCGTGGATTTCACTCAGATTAAGGGGTGGCACACGTAGGTTTTTGAGATCTATCATTCAATTGGTCTCGAATGGCATTATTCTCATCTCGTTATAAAATTGCGAAATTGAGTGCAAATTACCACACAGGAGAGGAGAATAGGATAGTTATTGAGCTTACGATCAATACCAACACTTTGTATAGTATAGTGAATAACGCGTATTTCGACATTTTGTTTCGTTTTTTCTTTGCGATTAAAACGTTGAGCTAAAAATTCGAAAATAGGGTAATTAATCAGCCTAAAATTAGCATCCCATCATCGATATCATATCAGTGAAAAATATATTCTTCTCAGAAAAGACTCTGCTGAGTTCGCCTGAAACCAGCAAAGCCGAAGGTTTCTTTTGAAAAATATGCAGCAAACAATCCCAAAATGGGATAGTTATTGAGCTTACAATCAACACTAACACATTGCTTTATAAAATCGTCATAAGATATGCTTTTGATTGAAATGCACAATGTATACTGAACAATGCATATTCCAAGGAATCGTTCCGGTTTTTTTTTTGTTGAAAGGTTGAGCAAAACATTCGATAATAGGGTAAATAGGGTGGCTAACAATATTTTTTCAATTCAGAGCTTTTGGAAGTGATTTTTCTCGAGTTCTTCAAATGGAACACCCCATATATTTTTAGGCTATTTGGTATAAAATCGAAACATGAACATCTTTTATTTCAACATCCATATTGATATTCGTAGCCATTTTTGAACTATTGAACTTCGAAAATTATAGGTTGGTCATTTTCATCGATACACATTCTCATCTGTTATTAAAACATTGTCGATCTAAATGAAAACCTAGTAGGCGACCTAGTACGCGAGGAGGTCATATACGTATTAATAAACAATACGGATCATAACGGGTGCCAGGATGAAGCCAAAAATATGAAACAAATGAATATCCATAAGGATTTGGTGGCATGATACGCATGCGCTATTATAGTAGTCATCAACGACATGCGTTTCGGTGGACAATGATGTTTACTAGCCTTTCAATCATCGCAGTATGTGTCTGATCGTTTCAAAAGGTCATGGTTGTTTTTGTTTACGTTTCGCGGACATGTTTATTAGCGATTTTTCATCATTTCATCAGTGGTACCCATAGATTTCGATAAATTCAGTGATTTCAGGGTGTTTAAAAAGATATAATTGTTCATTTATTATCAGTGTTTATTGTTAGATTTCCAGTTCTAAGTATTTTCATAGTTGAATTCCCATTAATATTATATTGTTCTTGTTTTTTTCCTTCTTCTGGAATAACTGTAGATAAGTATTATCATTTTAGTCGTTTTCATTTCATTGCATAATCACGGTTGATATTTCTTTGTTAATTTTGTCCTCTTGCTGATTTTTAGAAGTTATTACCATTTTTCAGGTACCTATAGTTCTAATTTTTAATAAGTTCTCCTCCTTAAAATGCCATCTCAAATGAAAATTTGTTTTCTTTGTAAAACTAAAGAATCTAATATATCTTATCACAGGTAAGAATATAGACAATACCTCAGTATAATTCCTATCTACTACACAATAATATTTTTTTAGATTTCCCAAAGATGCTGCTATCAGATCAGAATTGGTAAAGTTCTGTAATCTGAATAAGAAAATTGATGTACATCTTTCCTCATTACTATTGTGTTCAGAACATTTCTCTGTGCAAGATTTTTCCCATGGAATGAGGAATACATGTGAAGCAGGAGTTCGAAGAAGGTTAAATAAAACAGCTATTCCTACTCTCAACAAAATATCATCTGGGCTGTTTCCATGTTATGTCAATGATGATGTTTCTAATTCCTCAAATTCTTGTGCAGGTAAATATATTTCAAAATATTAATATTATAAATTGAATAAACCCTTAATATATTATACATTACTTGAAATTACATACCTATGATCTTGATTCTGATTACTATTTAATCATCTTTTGAGTGATGTTTATAATGGTACTAACCTCGGTACTAACAGTAATTAAGTTGAGTACAATGAACAAATAACTCATTTTGTTTGACCTCAAATGAAAATTTATTCCAAAAGTATTGTTCACTGAGCATCTCAGTTCACCGAACCTTTAATGCTGCTGCTGTAGAATTATTTATCAGCTCAGCTTTCAAATCTAATAAGGTATCTTCAAATGGATGTAATTGAAATATTTGAAATATGAAGCCGTTGTGCCTTTTCCAATTGAAAACATCCACTTCATATCATTTCAAGTATCATTCATTTCTTCAATAAGAATACAGCTTCTACATATATAACCAGATAATTTATCAATATCAAGAGGGAATGAAGTGAATACAACAGCACACTCCTTATGTTCCATCAGTGGTGAGGAGTCTTATAATCACAATACATAATACAGGGTGATTGACAAATATGCCACAAGCCATAACACTTGCATTATTTACTGTCCAAAATTAAATGACTCCTTGGATAGGTATTATTATGAATCAATGATTTTCAACTCTAACATCAGTGACCGAGTCAGTGACTGTCAGTAGGAACTATATTATGTATTCATCATATCTTTCACTTAATTTTTTCCCTTGGTGAAAATTTCTGAAGTTGTTATGTGAAATTAATTAGGAAAACAGACTGAATCCTCTCCCATAGTATTTGTGAAGTAATTTCATTTGCCTTTTGGTTAATCAAAATCTATCATTCAATAGCTGAATAGCTTGGGGCTTTTTATGTCAGTCATCCTGTAAGAAATTGAGTTGTAGAAAATTGTCTTCTGTAATCAACATTATTTTTTTCCTTAGATTGTGCTCAATTCTTGAAAGAAAATAATTTTGGGATGTGAAATGATGTAGATTCCTAAATCATCAGTCATTTTCATTTCAATGTCCAATAGTTCTCTGTTTTTATCAAATTTTTAATGATATCTGGATTTTAAATATTCAATCTGTATTTGTATTTTTTCAGGACCAAGAGAAAATCTCAAAAGAAGACATGATGAAATGTTGAATGACTCTCAATGTTCGAGTGGTAAGTATGATTTAGAATGCCAACTTGTGCAGAATGCATTCCACAAAACAAGGTGGATAAAATGCACTAGAAATATAATACTAAATAGGAATGGTGCTATAACTTTTATTTGCTCCTGAAATCATCATCTGAAATAAACTGGCCAGAGTAGTACATTGAACAATAAAATAAAAAAAATCATAGTGTCCATCATTGCAATAATGCAAATTTCATTTGTTCAAAAGATGATATCCTTTCTATATTGTTATTCAGTAATTTAGAAAAAAAAAATCCCGATAGAGTAGGTGTACACATGGGCTCAAAAGTCCATTCTATATCAGTAATATAGCATACATTTCATTTCGAGCAGCACCAAACTATGGCACTGTTCATCCAGACTTTGTTTTTCCAATTCTCACTTTTTTTTATTTTCAGCTCATATATTATCTGGGAAGAATCTCTCACTTCAGTTGTGGAAGGTACTCATTTGAAATAATGATTCTGAATAATCTTAAAAATATTGTGTATTTTTCATGGTCTTTCAACTTTTTTAATTGACGTTTTGTAAAAAATGTGTTTCTTTCATTTCAATATTTTGTGATGAAATAAGTATCACAGGTATGGAAACATGAAAATTGAATTTGAAATACATTATGTAGTGAGTATGCCCTGGATTGGAAAGTGTATTCATAGTATATAATTCAAAATAATGTAAAATTTCTAGTGAAATCTCTGATTTGAGAACTCCCTATAGGCCTTGATTTTGAATACTCAAAGCTATAGGTAATCATTTACTATCATTCTAAAATAGATACTGATAGTAAATGCCTTTAATGCATTATACCCATACACTCTTAACACCATGATTAATGATTATAATTATTATTTAAAATTTGATAGACCATACATTATTATATGCATTGGAAGATTTGTTATACCTGATGCATTCTTAATGAATGAATGTGTAAATATACTGTGTAGGTACTGAGTCAATGTCTTTCTACTTGACGTACTTTTTCAGTAGTTTTGTAAACATTCTTAATAAATATTTTGAAAAATGGAGTTGTATATTGATCTTCCTCCCTACATATGTTCGGATATTACAACTTGGAGACCTTAATTTGAAAATATTCAGAAGTATTTGAGATTAGGTACCTATATACTCATCTCCAATCAATACAAATGAATTATCTTTGTTATTACCTTCTGCTCCTGGATATAATGTGATATTTTCTATCTATGATCTATTATTTACAAATAAAATATAAAATACTGAAACATTTCAATCTACTGAAGATGTTATCATGAATAGCAAAACACTTGTTGAACAGTTGAAAAATAAGTTTATTAATGGAAAAGTGATAGTGTATGTTAAAAAGTTAATGTAAGTATGAAATTCTCTACAAGATTTATTTATTATTTATTTATTCATTTATTCACATATGAAAACATTTGAAAACATACATATTCTTATATTATAAAAAATATGAATTTCATCTACTTCACATAGGTTAGTGACCTATGTGTGAATTAGATTATTATTATTATAATCTTTTTGTAAACAATTTTCAAGTTCTATTTATAATATTTAGATTAACTATGAATAATTAATTCAATACATACAAAAACAAAAATCATTTGAAGAGATTATCAATTTCTTTTGCATTATCCAAAAACCAAATTTCTATTTTTTCTTGAGTGTTAAAATATTCATCTCAATTTTGATGGAACTGTATTGGAAATTTTTGACCCAATAAAACTACTATGATTTTGCATGATTTTGAGATTATGTTTCTCAAGTTGAATGTTATCATTTCTTGTGCATAATATCAAACTGAGAATTAAATTGTTAAAGCTACTCTCAGTTTTGATTTTTCTACTGTTTTGTTTGTTGTTTCTGTTCAGACTGAAGAAAGTATTATATTTGAATACTTCAGTACAAAACTAGGTACATATTATATTAAATAGTCAATGAAGCCAATAACTATGAAATTGTTGTAACATTATAGGCAGCTGGAATAAACTAATAATATAATAATGGCAGATAGGTACCTGATTTCAACTCAGTTCAATCATTCATTTTATTTCAGTACATTCCTAAAATCTCATTTGGCTCTGTTCAATTAATTCAATTTCATAAGGGAAGTATAACCCGATGGAGTTAAAATTAAATGTAAATCAAATATGTATATAAATATGAATAGACCAGAACTGTTTCATGTGAAATTGTATATGTACTTATCTAGGAATGCATCATATCAATTATGGTTCATTTATGCTATTCCTGATTTTTAAATTGAAAAGCGAGTACCTACTGAGGCAATGGGATAATGAAAATGGGATGAACATATCATAGGGAAACCAAATGTAAGTATAAGCATTTGATATTCTCAATGGTAATTTTGTAACACTTCATCATTTGAAAAACTTGCCTACCAAGATAATGAAGACCTGTGGACAAAAATAAATAAATGATTCCATTCTTTCAGAATTTATATTTTCACTAGCATGTCCTGTATCATTCATAATCATTAAATCATCCTGAAATAATGAATTAATGAATTATATTCCGAAAATCCCAATAATAAAACATAAACATAGTCCATAAATGTCATGTCACTCATGTCAAAATATTCAAAATAATGAGTTAGGTTAGAATGAATGAGAATGATTGTCATGATTTGATCATGCGCAGTATCTCACTTTTCCTTATGGATAGTCATTTGTCTTCAAAAATCGGCTTCATGTTTCGCTATGGAAACAGATAGAGATTATCCGTATTGATTATTAATACGTATATGGAGGAGGTACAATATTGTCTGTTCTTTGAATCAAAATCTGTCTGCCTGTCAAGTGGCGCTGGCATCCTGAAAATGGAAAAAGCTCATTTGTTTATGTCAAAATAGACCATATTAGGTTGATATTGTCTTCTTCTATTTTTTTCCAATATGTTAATCAACCACAGATGTGCTTTCCATCATTGACGTGATATTCGATACAAAGGCGATGAAGAAGATTCTTTCATGAGATTGAGATGTCATAATCAAAAAATTATTTTCTGACAGTTGTCATTAACTTATATTATAATTTCGTCTTTGTGAATATGTTGAACTTTGAATTCGTATTCTTGAAAATTACAATTATTCCTAATTGTTTCTTCTAGTATTAGTTTTCTATTGCAGTTTGTTGATTGGTTTGTGAGTGCGATTGTGTTATTTTGCAATGTTATCTGAAAACTTCGCACTCCAGGAGGTGGAGGTGTAAAATTATCAAGACCTGGTTTCTCCTATCTCCACTGTTGTGAATTTGAGCCTCAAATCCTGAGGCATCAATGAGTTTATGCCATATTCATTGGATTGCAAGGTGAAATTTTTTTCTTAAATCGTATAATATTTGAAACTTGATGCATTGATATTTCAGGAATGGGAGTTTTTGAAGTGAGCGAACATGATACTGTATGTTTCCAACATTTTAAGGGAACTGTTTCTTGCCAATGAAGAATTGGAAACGGTTTTGGAAGGAGGGTTCGGTTCCAAGTTTGTTTAAGAAAGGTATATATAAATAAAATGATATTTAACAAGTTCCTACCTATACAAACTTTTTGTAGCAATCAGCTTATTAGTTTCTAGTTGACTAGAACTATAAGTTTCAGTATAAAAATTACCAAGAACTTGACTTTGGTACCTCTGAAAATTGTTCCAGTCAATTGTCATTGAATTCATTTCAGAATGGTACAGAACATTGAAACTGGGGACAAAATAGATATCAAATATTTTTATAGTTTCAGACTCATCAATGTAGTTTGGAATATGATGCTGAAGAGAAACTCCTTCCTTAAGGAACACGACCTGAAGATGAGGAAGCATCTTAGGAGGAAACGGGCATTTGAACAGATATTATAGAATGATAATAAATAATAATAATGTTTATTCAAAATTTTGACAATATAAATTAAAAAGTTATACATATTGGTATTGAATATTCCTATGGTTTAATTTGTGGCAATTATAGACACATCTTCTCATATTTAGTGAAGTTAGTGGCTTCAATAAGATGATTTTATAAAAAATAATCATTGTTCAGCAAAACATATATTTAACCTAAATACTTACCTTTGGTACAATATATAATGTTTTCAAACTTACCTGTCAATAAATCTGTACAACAATAAACAGGGTATCAGAGGAGAACAAATTAGTAGAATAAAAATTGCAATAATTCTTCATAATTATATTCAATTTATTAAAAAAATATAATTGTATTGTCATTCCTACATATAAAAGTTATTTTCCAATAAAAAAAATTCTAAATATCCCAGCATCTTGATATTTTGAGTTTGGAGCAGAATATCCATAAAACATTGATGAAATAAACAGATTGAGTCTAACCTTATTGCTTCTATGTATTCATTTCAGATGGGAAATTTTCCATTCTGTTCTCAAACATCATCATCCTTCTGGTACATTTCTTCTAAACATTACTCACATAATAATTCCTCATGCGATTCTTCCACATCAATCTGTTTGTATCACTCATAGTTTTTCGTTTTTCAACTGAAAAGCTATTCATGTAGGTACTCTTCGCTGTAGGTAGGTGTTAGATAATCTAGTTATCTTTTAAAATAAAATATAATGTTAAGTATCTCACTGTACATAACAACGTCAGGCCAGATGACAAGAGATAGATTGTCAATGAATTTTGAATAAAGATAATCTGAATCTATTTAAATATATTATCGTATATCACTTATTAACATGGCGCAGTCGTAAAACCAAAACCTAATCGTTCAAAGCAGGTATATACAGAAATAAATAAATAATGGGAGAGCGAGGTATCAGTCCTATGAGATTAGATGGAAATATAGCAAATAACTGGAAGATATGGCGATCCCGCTTTGAGAATTATTTGAAAGCAACAGAAGTGAATAAGAAGGAAGAAAGTACCCAGTGTGCCCAGCTGTTACATTACATTGGAAAAGAATGCTTCAAAATTTACCGAACCTTTGAAATTCCCGCCGCTGATAGAGATAAGTTAGCAGTACTCTTGAAAAATTTTGAACAGCACTTCTTACCCAAAGAAAATCTTTCATATGAACGATACATGTTTCTCACCATGAGACAGGAAGTTGGTCAGTCACTGGAGAGTTTTCTCATC